GTACCTTCCAGGAGTCACCAGCCATTGGCTCCTGTTTATGTACAACTTGAACTGTCTGTGTTCACTCTAGAGAATGCCTTTTAACATTTAACATTCTCCCTGAAGCATTCTGTATTTTATGGCTTGTTTCTGAGATTGGAGGAATATTGATCTTCATTTGCCACTGCTGTAATAAATCACATCCCCATAAGTTCATTGCTATTTGGCCACATATGGTTTTAATTTTCCTCTGTGTCCTTCAGGCCCTATGCATTCGACCCATCTTGTGCTTTGTTCCACCTGAGATAAAGTTCCAGTCCCTATAAGCTAAACGTTTACCTCCTGAAGTGGCCAATTTTGATGCCAAGATTTTAGAACAATTATAGCTACATCTGCCCCTATGTCTACAAGACCCTCAACTTTGATGCCATTTATCTGTATTGTTAATCTTGATTTTTGTTCATTTATTGAACTTTGCTAAAATATTCGTTTTATGGTTTCTCCTGAAAATTTTGTTTTATCTTCTAAAGTTGTCCTGTCATCCAGAGCAGTATGGTTTTTTTACATTAGGCATTAGATCCTTTAATTGCTTTGTGGAGGAGCTCCCCCATGGTGACAGGGAATGACTGAACCAAATTTGACATGGTGTTTCCTGATGGTAGAGGGTTGCCTTGCCTGTCTCTTGTTGATCTGCATTCATTGGTCCAATGTCAACCTTTGCCACATCTTCTGCATACTCCAGAAGGTTGGGGACTTCTGTTCAGGTTATCTCTATAAAAAACATTGCTTATGGGAATGCCTTGCCTATGATTCCTTTTTAGATGACTTAGTTTACCACATTTAAAACATTTGACATTTTGATTTTTTTCCTCAAGCTTTTGGAAATCACCTCTCCTGTCCAAGTATTGTCATGGTTATGAAATTCAATATTGACAATATTGACTGTGTGTTGGATCCATTCCTCTATGGATGTTGATCTTATCTTTAAATGCCCAATTATCCTTTTGCATTGTGAATTAGCATTTTGTTTGTTTGTTTCTCAAGACAGGGTTTATCTGTGTACCTGCAGTGGCTTTCCTGGAACTCACTTTGTAGACTAGGCTGGCCTCGAACTCACAGAGATCCACCTGCCTTTGCCTCCTGAGAGCTGGGATTATAGGTGTGCACCACCACCACCCAGTGTGAATTAGCATTTTCAAAAGCCAAAGATTCGATTAACATTAGTCTAACTTCTGGATTTTATATCATTCTGTTTATAGCTGAAGTCAATCTTTATAAAAATTCAGTGAAGGCTTCTTTTGGGCTATAACTTTAGTAAATGGCTCAGTCCTCTTTCCTGATTCTTGAATCTTTCCCCAAGCATTTAAGGCTGCTGTATGGCATAGGGATAAGGTGTGTTCATCAAATGTAACTTGACTATCCACATCAGTATAACAGCCCTCACCCAAGGATTTGATCTTGGGAAATCTGATAACCTCTAACCCTACCTTGCTGTTAGAGGGCCTCAGCTTCTCTCCACCAACTGTACCACTGTAACTGAGGACCATATTCCAATACTGCTGTAACTAAATCTTTCCAGTCTTGTGAAGTAATTTTGTTCTGAGTGGACCATGTATTCAATACCTGCCTCACATTAGATGCATGCATACCATAGGAAACTATTGCTTCCTTAAATCTCCTTAAATCTAACATTTCTATAGGATCCCATTTAACTTCTGCATAGCCTTGGGGATTCCTATTGTCTGGTGATCTTTCTTGAATGGTAATTGGATAAATTAAGGGTATTTTTTTAATAACCTTGGGCTTCTCCTTTCTAATTTCATAATGTAATGGTGAGGTTGGTTCTCCTCTGAATTCTTCTGTCTGTGTCTGAATGCTTTTATTATCTGTTTCAATAATTTTTTCTAAGGCTTGTGATTATCAGTAGTGGCATTTTCTAAGGCTTGCATTTTGAATAGTAGGCTTTTCTAAGGTTTGTATATTACCAGTCACCCTTTTACTCTCTTCATCAGTAAATATTTCTAAGTCTTTTATCTTGTCAGTCAAAACTGTATTATTATCTTTAGTAACTATTTGTAAGGCTTGCATATTATCAGTAGTAGCCTTCTCTAAGGCTTGCATCCTTTGAATAGTAAGTTTTTCTAAGTTTTGAATGTTATCATTAGTACCCTTTTCTAAGGCTTTTATCTTATCAGTCAATTTCTCATATTTGGCACAGTTATCAAACCATTTTTAAGGATAAAATATAAATTACTAGACTGATAATAATTATGACCAACATTGTATTGATCCCAGCTAAGTTTATCTCCTCAGTTTTTCTAGCATCTTGTCCATAGTAGCAGTTAGTAGGGTCCTAATTCCTGCACTGTGATATTTCCAAGTATTGACCTGGGAAAGGTTTTAAGATTGTCCTTTCCCCTTATTCTTTTACCTTTTTTAAAATCCTAGTTTACCATTTAAAAGTTCCCAATGACTTAACACAGTTCGATCCTCAGAGAATTGTTGTATATGTAGTAATGATGTTGGACCAGCAGGTGGAGCAAGTGAGGCACCAAGGCAGCTCAAGCTCAGCATGCTTGAGCCACACCAGACTCTGCTCCAGCACTTGTCCCCACTTAGCAAAATTGGTTCGAGAGAGCAGCTGTATACCACACTAGATTCTGCTCTAGTGCTTGCCTGCCCTGGGCTTGGGAGGGTAGCAGCACACAGCGCAATGCGCAAGGTGATGGGACCAAAACTTGCACCAGCTTCTGTGTACACATGGAGCAGAATGGATCTGGGAGGGCAGCAGTGGGTCAAGTCTGAGCCCCGGAAGGCAGGAATGCAGCAAAGCAGGGGTGTCCATCCTTGAGAAGGCAGCAGCCTCCACTGGACTACAGAGTGGCCATCACATCGGCTAGCAAGGCCCCACGTTGGGTGCCAGAGGAAGACGGAAGTCAAAAGATTACTTAACCATTTATTATCAGTAAAATTTGTGTACAAATAGCACAAGACAGAATGCAGAATCTGAACCAAGTCGCTAGCTGCTGCTGCCTCACTGCTGGTTCCTTGTTCCAAAAGACCATGCATCTCTCAGCCCCGCCTTTTCTTTCAGCCACATCCATTCCCAATGAAAACCCTGCCTCTTAGACCAAAACACTCCTTTCAATTGGCTAGTGGACCAGTGACAGAATTCCTGTAACAATGCTCCACACACAAAAATGGGGAAAATATATAACAGAGATAAACAGAGTAGAGAACTGGGTTCTTTGCAAAGATGAGTAAAATTGATAAACCTTTAGTTAGATCAGCAAAGAAAAATAAAGGACCCAAGTCACTCAAATTGAAAGTGAGTGCAGTGCTACCAATTTTGCAACAATCAAAAGGAGTACTCAACATACTCGAACGCCAGCAGCAGGTGGGGGTGGGGTTGCTCAGCCAGGAGCGGGGCTGGAGAACATGGACAGACCTCCAGAGTGCATTGTCTGTCCTACTTAGAAGAAGCATTTGGAACAGGCAGATGCTGAAATGACAGGTCACAGGGGCTAGGGAAGGAGAGTGGGGAGCCAGTGTTCAGTGGATCCAGAGTTTCTACCTCGGGGGGCATGAAAAAGTTCTGAAAAGAGGTAGCAGTGATGGTGGTACAACAGTGTAATTCTCCTGCAGATAGTTCAATTAGCCTAAGGCATGTTTTGGCTTGGTTTGGTTTTAGTTTTTTGAGACAGGGTTTCTCTGTGTAGTTTTAGTGCCTTTCCTGGAACTCACTCTATAGACCAGGCTGGCCTCGAACTCACAGAGATCCGCCTGGCTCTGCCTCCTGAGTGCTGGGATTAAAGTTATCTCTCCAGCCCCTAAGACATATATTTTATCACAAGAAGCATGTTTCATTGTGTGGGGGATGAGCACACTGGAGGTGGGACAACATGATGGAGTCAGCCTCTCACAGCAAGTGCTCTCACCTGCTCAGCCCTCTTGCTGACCTGTTTATCACAATTTTAAGAATTTTAGGGGCTGGAGAGATGGCTCAGCAGTTAAGAGCACTGACTGCTCTTCCAGAGGACCCAGGTTCAATTCCCAGCACCCACATGGCAGCTCACAACTGTCTGTAACTCCAGTTCCAGGGGCTTCAACACCCTCAGATATACATGTAGGCAAAACACCAATGTACATAAAATACAAATAATTTTTAAAAAAGAATTTTATGCTTGCAGGCTAAACACAATGTTTCACCCCTATGATCCCAGCACTTGGGAGGCTGAGGCAGGAAGATGATGAGTTGGAGGCTAGCCTGAGATAGCAAAACTGACTCAAAATATAATTACTTAATTTAATATAAATAGTTGTTATAAGCTCTAGCTCATAATCCTAGCTTCTTGGAATGTTGATGCAGGAGGAACATTTGAGCCCAGCTTCAAAACCAGCCTGGGCAATATAGTAAGACCTAGATTGCAAACAAAAGCCACTTGCAAGGATGGTTTCCTAACCAAAAGAAAGCCTTCCCACAGCTACGGAGAAAGGGGAGCATTGGAAGTTTGCCTCCATGTTTCTTTGATCACAGTTTAGGGACATGTGGACTTCAAAGTCATTTGTAAGTCAGAGGAGGAGAGGAGGGAGGAAGGGTGAAGGAGGGGGATTACCCACAGACAGGTGGGACCCTGGCCAACCCCTTTCCTATGGAGACACTCTTGACACCCTTGCCCTGGCCTCAGGGTTCCATCCCCTGCTGGCACCATGCATAGGAAAGTCAGGGTGCAGTGTTTAAGGCTGTAGTGTGTGTCTTCCCATTAGCATTCCTGCAGCCTGGGAGCCAGGTTCCAGCTCCCTATACTGCCTGTGCCCCAGATGGCCCTGCCTCCCTGCCACACATGCTGGCCAGGGCTGGAGGATGACCCTGATGAGTGATCTTCCAGGATCCCAGGGTGCTGCTTCCTGCCTGCAAGAGACCCCCCCCCGCCCCTACCCCCACCCCACGTTCAACATCTCTGGTGCTGTGTGTTTGCTCTTAAGCTAAAGCTAGTCCTTTGACTTCTGCAGCTTGAGGATTGGCAGGGACGGACCAAGTGCCTGTCACCATTGACTGAGGGTCCTTCCTTCCTCCAGGCTGTTTTAGGAACAAAGACCAATACCAGGTGGGCAAAGCTGAGACTTTATTAAGAAAGAGCTAAGAAGAGGACCCTGAGGCCAAGGCTTATAAGACATTAGAAGCCAATGGCGACAGGCACCTGAGCCTCCACAGAGTCATCTGTGGGTGGAACAGGAGCAGTCTGGGAATTATCTACAGGGGGCGCTGGGGCAGCTTCTGAGTCATCCACAGGGGGCACAGGGACAGCCTCTGAGTCATCTTCAGGGGGAGGGAGGGTGTCCTCACCATCAGTCACTGTGGGCAGCACCTCGTATGTCACAGCCCAGTATTTCAGGAACTTGACCCTTAGGTGCTCCTTCATGGAAGTGCTAGTTATCTCATTAGTGATGTCCAGGTACTTGCCATTCTCCGAGGTATAAGGGTACCAGTGTGTGGGCACGGGTGAGTTGCCCATGTTGGGATCCCTGCAGAGTGAGAAGAGACTGAATAAGTATCGAAGACTACAAGGAGACTGAATGTTGTGGAATATTACTTTGACTATGTAAAGATGTGTTATATTTGTTTATTTTGTTGAATATTTAGCTATGTAAAGGTGTGTTACATTTGTTTATATGGTATTTGTTTAACTGTGTAAAGATGTCTTACTTTTGTTTGTTTAACTATGTAAAGATGTGTTGCCGTTTCACCTCGCCTGCCTAAGGCACCTGATTGGTCTAATAAAAGCTGAGCATCCAATAGCTAGGCAGCAGAGGGATAGGAAGGGCTGGCGGGCAGCAAGAATAAGTAGGAGGAGAAATCTAGGCTTGAGAGAGATTGAAGTAGACAAAGAAGGAGATGCCTGGGGCCAGCCATCTGCCAGACAGACAGACACAGAGGAAGCAGGAAAGATAGGACATACAGAATGAAAGAAAGGTAAAAGCCCTGAGGCATGAAGAGAAACAGGTTAAATTAAATTAAAAGAGCTAGTGGGACAAGCATAAGATAAGGCCAAGCATTCATAATTAAGTCTCCGTGTCATGATTTGTAGGCTAGCAGTCCAAAAAAGCCTGCTTCAGCTGGAGGGAGACCTGTGCTCCCAGACAGCTCTGCACATAGACAGGTTGGCCATCCCAGCCATTTTGATACTAGGTCATGATGAGCATGTGTTTGGCCTTGGGGCTGGGTCAGCAGCTCTTCTGCCCATGTGCAAACTGCCCACCAATGCTTGAGGATAAGAAGTTTGTCCAAATGAGGAGACAGGGCTAGAACCCAGGCCCACAAGGCCACAGTGACAAAGGAGTCCTCAAGTCTGCTGCCCTTGATCCTGGCTCAACCCCACATCTTACCCACTCCTGGCAAAGTTGGTCCAGTAGGCAATCATAGCCTTGGAGAGAGTCCTGTCTCGGGCCCGGTAGCCCAATGGGGTGGCGAAGGGCTTTCCGAAGACGTACTGGAGGTCATCAGCATGGTCAGCCCCCATCCATTTAGGGTAGACAGGCATCCGTGAAGGGTAGGAAAACAGGTAAGAATAGGTATTGCCACTCCTGAGGGAACAGAAACAGCTGGGTTGGAAGGGGGCTCCACTGGGAGATAAGGCCCTGGAGAGAGGCCAGGAGGAGCAGGGCAGGGAACCCCAAGACTCACAAAGAAACTCTTTTGTAGCCTTGACTGGCCTGGAACTTACTATGTAGACCAACTGGCCTTGAACTCCCAGAGATTGCCTCCTGAGTACTGGGATTAAAAGTGTGTGCCACCATGCCCAGCTCTCAACTGGAGTTCTTGATACCCAGGGAAAGAAAGGCTGCAGCCCACATTCATGGGTCTGCAGCTTCAATGTTCATGTCTCCACTCTACAAAATATTCAGAGGCCTCCTCTTCCCATAGTTCAGGGTCAAGGATTTCTTTCTCTCCATCTGAATTCATATTTCTCACATGATTGGACAAGGTATGTGCCTCCATTACTCTTTTAACCTTGACTGATGGGAAGCCCAAAGCTAAATTCATGGTTTAGTTAGCCAAGAGGCCTTGGTCGAAAGCTGCAGAAGTCCCCTCAGGAGCCTCCCACACACATACCCCTTCCCAGAACCTCACTTGGCATGGGCTCTGTGCTGGGCCAGAGCAATCTCCGTGGGTATCAGGAAGAGGATGTCAGTCTCAAAGGCCACCACTGTCTTCTTCTTGTTCTCCTGGGACGGGTCCTGGGCCCAGGACTCAGTGTAGATGTCAAAGGTGGTTTGGGCACCCTTAAGCCCCTTGTTGAGAGTGTTTCCACTGACTAGCCTGTAGAAGTCCTCCCTGCATGGGGATGGGTGAAATAGACACCAGACCTGCTGTTGGTGTTGACAGGAGCATTCCCTGCCCTTTTCTCACCCCAACACAGCACCCACCTCCTCACTCTCACCCTACCCGCCGCCTCTGAGCCAGCTCCCCAAGCAAGGCCTGTTCTTTCCCAGCCCTGGGCCCCCTGCTCACTCTGTGACATCCTGGTTGGTCTTGTCGATGGCTGGTACATCAACAGTAGCAAAAAGGTGGCCATCCATGTCATTAATGCCAGCTAAGTAGTCAATGTCGGCGGCATTGGCATACAGATTGATGGGGTCATCAGGGATGAAGTCTCCATCGACGACAGGGGTGAAGCCCAGATAGTGCCATATGGGGTCTGAGTGGGAGAGCCAACAGGTTCTTGTACCTTCAGATGCCTGCCTGGTCCTCCCCTTGACCTTATGTACTAGACTTGACCTCTTTCTTCCCTTTTCTGACCAGACCAGGGTTCCTCGACCCCAGCCCCAGGGACTCTGGGGCCACAATCAGCTTGTGATAGGGATGACTGTCCATGTGTGTGCTGCTGAGCTTGTCCCTAGCCTAACCTGCTAGATGTCAGTGGTCCCCTTCTCTGGTTGTGACAGGCAAGCTCATTCCCAGACTCTGTCTCACGACCATGTGGAGAGTCCACTGCTCCACAGGCCAGGGCTGTCTGTTCTCCCACTTCAGTGCCCTGTCCCCGCTCTCTTTCCTTGTTGAACCTACACCAGGGATGAGGTTTCAGTCTGCTGGCCATCGTGCATGAGGTCTGCCTGCCCTCCAGGCTTGCCAGCTGGCCTGTGCACGGCTCAGCTGGTGGAGATCCCTGGGCCCAGCACAGCCAGGCCTTCTGCAGTGGCACCCCAAACAAAATAGTTGGCTTGAATACCAGAGGTGCTCAGAGGCAGAGCATTTGCCTGTCAGGCATAAGCTCTGGGTTTGATCTATAATATAAAAAGATAAAGGAGATACAGGGCACAAACGCGGACTGCTAGACTTTGCTTTAGAAGAGTAAGCAAAGAAAAAATTCCATGTCCTAGGCTGACAGGCTGTTTCTTCATGTTTGCTGGTAGCAGCTCCAGCCAGAAGGTCCAAACACCACAGGAGGTATTTGGAAATTTGCAAATGATTGCCACATTAACAAGGGAGGTAAAGAGTGGCCATCTGGCATAGAAGCCCCAGGTCTGGAAGTCCACATATCTTCCTGAAATTATGTATGGGTTTCTGCTATTTGGGACTCATGTTTTGCCTGCCTTCCTTTCTTTTTTCCTTCTTTTTTTTTTTTCCTTTAAGACAGGAGGTCTCACTATGTGGCTCTGGCTGGCCTCTCACTGTGTAGATCAGGCTGGATTTGAATCCACAGAGATCTGCTTGCTTCTGTCTCCAGAGTGCTGGGATTAAAGGTGTGTGCCACCACACCTGGCCATGTTTGGCTTCTTAAAAGTCTCTCTGGAGGAAGGGAAGAAAGATCAGTATACACCCTCCTTTACCACTGCAGCCTGCTAGGGGGTAGTGGCAGGAAGTTAGGGACAGGCCCAGTTGGCCATCTTTCTATCCTAGAGCTCAGCCTTGCCCCACAAGGGCCCCCTTTTTACTTCCAACCTACATGCCTCCCACCCAGCAGCAGCCACTCACACTCCTGGCTTTTCAAGGGCAGCTTGTAGGCCAATGTCAAGGCCCGGGGGTCTGTGATCTTCAGACACCTAGCCATCTTGCCGGTGTCGTCTGTGGGGCATCCCACCTTCTCAGCAATCTAGGGGAAGGCAGAGGCAGGAGGTTAGAGGAGGCAGTGGTCAGGCTCGGAAGGGTCCCCACCTGGCTACTCCTGCCCTGTTGCACTTACCTTTTTGGCCCAGAAAAGTGGGTTCTTCTGGATGGCCCAGGGGCTCAGTGCCACACCACTCTGACTGATGGCTCGCCGGATGAGGCCCTTGTTGTATGGGGAGAGGGTCTGCAACACCCAGAAGTCCTGTCAACAGGCTGTACCCTGCTCTGACCATTATCCTAGGCCCCACTGGCTCCCTCCCTTAATCTTGGAGTCAGACTCCACAGCAGAGGGCCCCAGACCTGCAGAGAGACACTGGCACCTCCGGCAGACTCCCCAAAGATGGTGATGTTATCAGGGTCTCCCCCAAAGGCTGCAATGTTCCTCTTCACCCAGGCGATAGCCATGTGCTGATCTCGAAGGCCAAAGTTACCTGAGGGTAAGAGGAGTAGCCTTCATCAGGAGGGGCCCTCAACTAGAGTTGGAGGAGGCTAGAGATGAGTGACCTAGGGCTTATACAGAGGGTGGCAAGTCATGTGGACAGGAGGGAACCAGTCCTAACTGCATTGACACCCTGGGAGAGTCCAGGATGGCAAACTGGATCTCCAGAAGGCTGAGCGGAAGGGGAGTTGCAGGGCTGGGCGGTGCAGTAAAGCCGGCTGGTGGCTCTGCTTAAGTCCTACACGTGTTGCCTCCTACGGTCTGTCTGTCCTTTGGCTTCCATGTCCACTCGACTCTACCTCAGCTCCCCTCTTGCTCTCCAGGACTCAACTTGTGTCTCTGTCATTCTATCTGTCCCTTGGTCTCTCTCATTTCCTGATGGCTGCCTAGGGCTCCCAGGTCTCATAATTCAGCTCCAGTCCCCCCAACTCTGAAGAAGGTTCTGGGTCTTCCCGTAGCTGTCAGGGTAGAGGGTTCTGGAGTGCATATATCTGCTGGGTTCAGAGTTCATAGGGTTCAGCACACTCAATGTTCCAACATACCTGGAAGGTTGGCATCCCCAGTGCTAAGGAAACCCAAGGGTCCAACACGGTAGTTAAAGGTGACCACGATGACGTTGCCCCGAGTGGCGATCTCTTCCCCGTCATACAGGTAGTTTTTGAGGACATTGGCCCCATGGCCAGACCCCATAAGGAAGGCACCTCCATAGATCCAGACCATCACAGGCAGGTTCTGGGACACTGAAAGGGGCAGACAGGGACTTCAGACACTAGCAGGCCCTCTCCCCAGCCAGCTCATTAACTGTGTTAGAGCAGGTGCTCAGCCCAGGCTGCAAGGATCAGCAGTGGGCACCCCCTCCTCGCCTCAGCCCTGATTTCAGGTATATTTGGCTTTGCAGCACCAAATGCACCCCAGGGCAGGCTTTGAAGCTCTGGGGTGGGGTTGGGATCCTCTGGGAAACTGTGATCCAGACCTTGTTTCCTGCCCTGGGGGACCCAGATATTGAGGTAGAGGCAATCTTCTTGCCCATAGGTGTTGTCCTGGGTGATGGTGGCCTGTAGGCATCGTTTCTTGAAGTCCTTGGCCTTCAGAGTTCCTACAGTGAGAGACAGGGCAGATGTGAAGAATACCAGCTAGGACCAGCCTAGCCAGGGCCAGCCAGCAGCACCCAGTACCCACCTTGCCAGCCAGGGTGACGCTGGGGATTCTCCAGGGTCTTGGCGGTGGCAAAGGGGATGCCCTTGAAGATGTCAACCGAGTCACCACCCAAGAGACTGAGCTTCTTGTTGTCGCCCTCCACGAAACCTCCTTCTGTGTACACAGCACCTAGCTGCAGGTGACACATAGCAGGGTCAGATGGGCTTGGGCATGGTTCGCCTAAATCCAGAGTGGCCGGCCGAGCCCTTTCCAGGGTGCTAGCAGGTCCCCCTGCCAAGTGCCAGAGAGGCTGGTTCACCCCCACCCAACGCTGGCACATCCTCCTACAGCTGTCCGAAGCTCCTCCAGCCCGTATTCTGCTCAGTTGGAGTGACGTCTAGATCTTGGCTGAGACCTGGTATGTAAGATGGGTCACAGCAATTTCCCCCCAAGGCTGGCTGTCAGAGGAAAGGCCTGTCCAAATGCTGACTGTGGTGGATGCTCAGTGCTGCCAGAATGTTTCTGAGACCTGACTCTCCTTCCCTTACCTTTCCCACTGCCTAGCTAGCTGGGCATGGATCTGGTGGCCCCATGTCCAAGCCCTCACAAGGCCAATCAGTACTGCCACTTGGTGTCTAGACTTTTTTTTTTTGTTTGTTTGTTTGCTTTTCGAGACAGGGTTCCTCTGCAACAGCCCTGACTATCCTGGAACTTGCTTTGTAGACCAGGCTGGCCTCGAACTCAGAGATCCACCTGCCTTTGCCTCCTGAGTCCTGAGATTAAAGGTGTGCTCCACCACTGCTCTGTTGGTGTGTAGTCTTACCCAGTGGCCTAGAGGCAGGTGCTCATCTGCCCACTGTCCCTGCAAACCGAGGGGCAGGGGCTCTCCCACTCAAAGTCATTTTGAGACAAGGCTGTCCAACCTCTGTGCCAGTGCATGTCCCCTCCCATCCTTCTTGCATCCGACCGGGACACATGCAGGAGCAGCTCTGCTTACCTGGCAGCAGTGATAGTGTGGCCTCCTGCTTTTCCCCTGTGCAAGGTTTCAGGTAGGGGGAAGTAGGCAGCCTGAGGCTGCAGGCCCAAGCTAGGATCCCAGCAACCCTGTGAAGTCCAGGCCCATGAACTCCCTACTATCCTGGGTGAGGAAACTGGACAGAGGAGTTGGGGAGACTACACAGACAATTGGGGCATCCGAGGTTCCTTGTTTCAGCCTCCAGGCTACTGGGAGGAGTCGAAAAGCCAGCTTGGGGGAGGGGGTTAAGTGGGGGGGATGTCACCTCTCAGTGTGTCTGTATGGTAGTGGTTGACCCGAGTGTCTCAGGTGGGGACCCAAGGATGTAGAGATCCTGGCCAATGTCAGGATGGGTGTGTTGGCTGGCAGTAGGGTAGTGGTGAGAAAGTTCAGGTCCTTCTAACACCCTAAAAGAACTCTCTCAAGAAAGAGAATTACTTCTTTCTCATGGAGTGAGCCCAGCACCAGCACCTCAACTTCCAGGCTCCGGGGGAGGGAGGGTGGTCCCCAGGGCCCAAGACAGCACGACAAGGGTTGGAGCATGAATGGGTTGGAAAGCAACGTGGTGAGGAGCTGGGGCCCGTGCAGGGATCTCTGCCGTTCTGTGACTTGTCCACACACCATGGAGAATGATGGCTAAACGCAGACTTCAGAGGCGCTCCAGAAAAGCTGGTGCAGCCTCCTCAGGGCCCTTGGAGGGGAGCCTTGCATACAGTAGGTAGGGTTCACCCCTCTCAGGAAGAGCAGGAAATGGAGGTTACTTGGGAGCCAGGCCCCTGATTTGGAACAGACGTTTCAGATTCCTGTTCAAGACAGGATGGGGTTGCTGTGTAATGTCAGGCAAGCTGCTTCTCTCTCTAGTGGGGGCGGGGGGGGGGGGGGGTGGCGCTTAAGAAGGGGAAAAGCCAGAGGTTGTAGGTAGGCTTGCCAGACTTAGGCCCACCTGAAACCACAGAGCAATAGTGGGCTTTTTAGTATAAATGCTCCAAACAGTGCACAGGATGTCCTTACACGCAGAACTGCTGCTGGTGTGAGATTTCCGTACAATTCTGCATGCTGCGCTAGGCTTCCCATGAACAAGAGAAGCTGGGTGTGGCCCAGGCAGGACCAGAGCTTCGAGGGCTGTTGGGCTTGCTGGCCTTTTACTCCTTCCCTTTCTGTGACCTGTCTTCCATACTCTAGACAGTCCCCAATTTCCAGATCTTAATGAAAGAGGGCCACAGTCCCCTCTGGCTTACCTTTGCAGCATAAGCTGCTGCCAAGCAGCAGGTGAGGCCAAGAAACAGAACCTCCAGGTGCCCCATGGTGAGCGTCTGCCTCTAGGCAGTCCTTCTCGCCACTTTTCCAGTATTTATGGAGCTGGAGCCAAGGCCGTGTGCGTGCATACCGTGTACTCACAGACGCACAGGTGTGGGATGGTCTGTTCTTCCCAGGTCAGGCTGGCCCCGTGCATCCTGAGTGGTGCCCACAGTGCACCTGTGTGGGTTACTGCCTACCTGGGAGCAGAGGCAGGTGGCATGGATAGTGAGGGGGAGGGCCTCCCAGGGCCAACTCTGGCTGGGTGCTGAGTGTCTTGCATTTTCTGTCATATTAATTCCGTCAGTTTGGGGTTTAGTGTCACCTTCAGAAAAATGGTGTGCTTCATCTCAAGGTGCTGAATGCCCCTACCTTAGTGGGAAGTCCATGAGGGACTCCCAAGCCACAGGTGGCTGTGTGCTACTAGGCACTGGTGTGGCCGACCCTTGGTAACTCCAAGAGCTTGCACTAGGGATGTGGCAGTGCAGGCTGAGGGCTGGAGGCAGAGTCTCCTGGGAGGGGAGGACAAGAAACTCCAGGTGGACATGGTGGCACAGATGGAGCAGGGCTACCAGAGTGAAACCTAGTGTGGCCCCAGGGCTTGGGGGCACCTCCAGATAGAGAGTCTACTTCACCTCTGTGCCTTGCTGGAGGTTGGAGTGGGATTCCCCACAGAACACAAGCAAGGATTCTGGGACACACCCAGGCAGAAAGAGACAAAGCCTGGGTGTAAAGGTCCAGAATGAGGGAGGGAGGGAGGGAGGGAAGGAGGGAGGGAGGGAGGGAGGGAGGGAGGGAGGGAGGGAGGGAGGAGGAAAGTACTGGGCTTGGAGGTGAAGGCCAGTATGAGAACAGCCACCATCCTAGGGATGTGTACTTTGGCTACCAGGAAAAGATTATCACAGTAACAGACACAAACCAAGTCTCGAGAGGCTCCCTTTAAGGAGTGCAGTTACCTTGGACACCTGGAAGCCATGGCAGCTGGCCAGGCATAGCCAGAGTCTTCCCAAGCCAGTGGCCCTCACATCCAGGAGCCCAAGGCCCCAGCTCAGAACACAGGGGGACCTACAGACCCACATGTCCTAGTGCGTCCATGTGCTGTGCCCAATCCAACACGCAGATCTCCACGGTGCACAGTAGGTATGCAGATCTGCGAGGGCAGGAAGTTGGGACACAGCAGAGGTGGGGTAGCAGGAAACACACAGGTTGTATCTTGTGCCAACTACTGATTCTGAGAACCAGTGCTAAAGAAAGCAATTCTGTACTGGGGAGTGCTGGGTTGAACAATGCAGGGTAGCTAGGAGAGCAGGACGGGGAAGCAGGAAAAAAAAGGAAAAGGGCCTCTTTGTATCTAGTGTTTAGAATACTTTTAGGTTCACAGCAACACTGAGCAGGAAGGAGAGTCCTCATGTCCACTTCCCCAACACTTGAGTGGCCTATGTCTACAGTGACAGACCCAAAAGGACACATCTCTGTCACACACAGTCCAGTAGTGCCAGCTGCTGCTGACACTGGATGTATTTTTTTTTTTTTTTTTTTTTTAATGGCACGTGGAGTTCTTTATGGGGAGATTCTAGGTTCACAATTGGATGCTCACCATCCACAAGCTCCCCAAGGCTGGGCTGAAAGCATCAAGGTCAAGTGATGGACCACACAGAACATTAACCCCACTGACACAAACCATTCAGGATTTAGGCAGGTGTTTTAAGTATGGTTGGTTTTTTTTTTGGGGGGGGGGAGAGTGGGGAGAGAAATTTTTCCTCAAAAGCAAAATCCACCAACACTGGTCCCACATAAAGCAGAACTACAACCACAACTCAGGCCAGGGCTGCTGCTGCCACTCCCCAGCTGTGTGGCCCGAGCCTCAGTTTCTCCAGAGAACCTCTGACAAGGAGCTCTTGGCAAATTGCAGGGTCTGCAATTCCCTTTCTTGTTTACAGGTGCGCTGGAAGAGGTGCTTAAACTTTGTTCTTAGGCAGGAGACAGGCATGGGATCTAACCTGTGGGAGCGCAGTTCCTTCCCTTCAGGTACTGGTCTGCAGGACTCACCTCAAGTACAAAGGGAAGAGAGGATTAAGTGACCCCAAGCAGCCTTCCAAGTTTATCATGTTACTTTGTCTAATTATTAACTGTTAAGCATACGTACTTCAATGATTTGTTTTTTTTTTTTGTTTGTTTGTTTTTTGTTTTTGTTTTTGGAGACAGGGTTTCTCTGTGTAGCTTTGCGCCTTTCCTGGAACTCGCTTTGGAGACCAGGCTGGCCTCGAACTCACAGAGATCCGCCTGGCTCTGCCTCCCGAGTGCTGGGATTAAAGGCGTGCGCCACCACCGCCCGGCTGATTTGTTATTTTAAATTACGTATATGTATCTGTATGGAGTATGCACACACAAGTGCAGGTGCCCCCAGAGGCGAAAGGGCCACTGGAAAGAACTAGAAATTACTGGAAATTGTGTTAAGTGTGGTGATCAACATCAGGTATTAAGCTGACTAACACGGTACCCAGATATTTGGTCAAGGTGGGCATGGTGGTACACATCTTCCATCCTAGCACTCAGGAAGTGGAGGCAGAAGGATCTCTGTGAGTTCAACATTAGCTTGGTCTACACAGTGAGTTCCAAGACAACCAGGGACCAGAGAGAGCTTGTCTCCAAACAAACAAACAAACAAACAAACCAACCAACCAACAAACCACCCAACAACAAACCTAAAACATCTGGTCAAACATTCGGATGTTTCCGTGAGGCTGTTTTTGGATGAAAAGCTGTTTAAATCAATAGGTGTTGACACGACAGCTTAGCCTCCGTGTGGGTGGGCTTCATGCAGTCTACTGCAGGCCTGAGATGGGGGCGGGGCAGCCAGCATGCTGCTTTTGACTGCAGCCTTTCACTGACTCTCCAGACGACACAATGCCCCGAAGACGGTGGACCTGTACCTCAGCTGTGAGCCAACTGCTTACAATTAATCCTAACAGTTCTGCAGAATCTTGGCTAGCAAGTTCCAAACAGCACTGCAGTTCTATTAGAGACAAGTGTGGGCACCCAGCAAAAACACCAATAGAAAACAAGACGGGTGCCATACGCACCAAGACTCAGTAACTGTGAAATCAGATGATGGGTCATCAGCTGCATGAGACATTAGCGCTTCTGAGGGAGTTCTACATTTGTTATACTAAAAGCTCTTTTATTTACATGGGAATTCAGGAGAAGAATCACCATACTTTGCAAAATGTGGCTAGACCTCAGGAAGTCCTTCTTGTCTGGCCAACCTAAGGCAAGACTACCATTGCCCTGGGCCCTGTGTGGGCAAGGCCTTCAGAGGGAATGGGGTTCCTCGCTCAGCGCCTTCTTCCTCAGATCTGCAGAGTCAAGGCATTCCTGGGTAGATGGGACAGAACCTAGATCTCCTCCCCAAAGACCAGGCTGGGCAGCAGCTCAGAAGCGGGAGTGCTCCCAGCTGGTGTCCTGGCAGCTGCCGGGACAGAAGTCTTGTGGGGGACAGGCAGGGGTGGCCAGCCTCTAGAGAAGAACTACTTCCTGCCTCTGGGCTGAGCATTCTTCGAAGCAGCAGGAAGCAGGGTCAGCAGGGGACACGGGTCTGTCCAGCTGCTTCCCATTCCCAGGGGTGCCCACTTGGGCCAAATGAAACAATGGGTTGAGGACAATCTTGTCAGGAGGATGGGCTGGCTCGAGGCATCTGGCTTTGGAATTGCTGTAACTTGACCGTGTATGCCAAGCTGTTCAAGGGACAGAGGCCACACCGAGAAACAAGGCAATGGTGCATCTCCAGCTCAGCACCCTGCAGGAAATGGTGCTGCTGCCCTGGGGGCTTGGAAGGCCATGCATGGAGGAGCCTTCCAGAGAGGCCAGCTCAGCAGGGACATGACCATCTCTGGTTTCACAACAGGAAGCTGTGAGACAACGGGGTGTTTTCAGGGAACTGAAGAGCCGGTCCATTTGGCGAAGTCAGGCTGCCAGCCTGAGGTTGCCCAGTGCCCTCATCTCAGCACCCTGGGTGGGTGGGGCACAGGCCTGTCCCAACTGTCCCATCGTGGTATACCAGCATGTCCTGAATGAATGAATGAACAAATGAGGTGCTAGAGAGCCTCAGGCAAGAGAAACAGTCCCAACTCTAACCCCTCATGCTGAGACACCCAGACGCCTAGGAAATTCATTAACAGGACAGTTATGGCTGGGCCTGGCTTTTACCAACACTACCCCAGACAGATGGTGTCCAACCAGGGGTAGTCTGGCTGTCTGTGATGAGAGACCAGGCTCCTCAGGCCATCTGTCACTACATTCACAAGACTCTGCCAGAATGGGTGCCCCCAGCTTTACCACGTCCAACTCTGGCTTTTGCTGGTCTTTGCTTTGGGTCATCTGCATGGCACTGGGGTTGTCTTCAAACACCCAGGGCAGAAGGCAGTACTAAGCAGTGGGTCACAACCAGAGCCAGGGTGCTCTGGGATAATGCTCTTATACACTGTAAAGATTTGAAACTTGAATCGGTTTAGTAAAATGTTGATTGACTAGTAGCCAAGCAGGAAGTATAGGCAGGGCAAGCGGACTAGGA